TATAAGTTTTTATTAAAAAAATTAACCTTTTTAATAAAAACACAGGCAAATTTGCCTGTGTTACAATTTAAGGGATAGTGTTTTTAGCAATTCTTTATCAACCTATATTAAGGAATATTATAATTCAAATTTGTATCCAAAAACAAAAAAATGTAAATAATTGTTAATATACACTTTATAGATTTTTATTCTATGCCAATTTACTGCACTTTGTTGGCAGGGGTATGTATACTTCTTTTGTACAATATTTTTCTGGCTTCAAGTGCACCTTCTTGTAATAAATCACTCGAAGGCACAAAAATAGATAAACATATTTTTTTTTTCTTGAAAAGGAGATATCTTTATTTTCTGACTTTGAGCAATTATTGCGAAAAGGCAGTATTGTGATCTCAAGAATAGTATTAGGAAAACATGAACTTGCCAAGAGAAGACACCATATCACCAGGGCGCAGTAATCACATGATGTTGCGACTTGAATACCAATGTGAAATAAAAATCTTGCCTTCTCACAATAAATAGTTAATAAGATTCATCGCATGCAAACTACTATCAGTTATAGATGTATCAAAAGTAATTAATTTCTACATCTCTGAGCTTGTGAGACTAAAGTATTATGAATTAGCTTGGATACTTTTTTCTTTGCATTTTTGCCTTGCCTCTATTTCTTTCTGCAGGTTTAATGGAGTGTCAAACCTTAGCTGAATTGCAAGAGAATCATCCTTGGGTCTATCTAGATCAAATACAATAAATTCACCTTTTCGAAAGTAGCTATTAATGACCATCAATGCATTTTTTATATCATCAGTATAACGACTAGCTATCTTGGACACATCTTGATAGCTACCACCCCCATTAAACATTACTAAATGGGAGATATTTTTACGAATAATAATAGAGACTTTATGATAATGTTGTGTTATGTAAATAGGTGAGATGTTTCTATAACGCTTATAAATAAAGAAAGGGATAATTTGATTTTGTATATACTCTGAGGCAACGCACAAGTCCTCAAAAATAATAACAGTGCTCTTTTCTGGTGAGAATGATTTTACATTTGGAATCCTTTCAGAAGAAATATAACTAAACTGAATATTTTTATAATATAGTGCTTTTGGATCTTTTGAAATTATACTATACATATATCTTACAAATGTCTATTTTGGTTCGTCTAGATGATAACTACATACTATCAAATCATCACATCTAATATTGGGCCCCTCCTTTTTGTCCTTTGTATATATACTCACTCTTATTTTCGAGAACAAGATTTGCTAATATATTGGTCTTATCTGTCCCAATATACCTTTTTTGGCTCTACTTCAGTAATCTTTACCAATCACCAGCAGTTAAAGCATATAGCTATTTGACT